CCCACCGCGGGGAGGGGGCGGGGCGGTTGCTATGGTGACGGAGGGGCGCGGGGGCGTGGCCGTGGGGGCGTGACCGGGCGGGACTAACGGAGGCGTCGCCATGGGAACCGTGCGGGACGGGCAGGGAGGGGAGGTGTTGCCAAGGGGATGGAGGGGTCGGGGACCCGTTGCCATGGGGATGGGGTGTAGCTTTGGGTACTGGAGGGGTAGAGGGTGCGTTGCCATGGGGACAGGTGTAGGAGGGACAAGCGGAAACTTTGCCATGGGGTTGTGCTCGCCCCCAGACCCCCCCAGGGTTTGGGGAGACCCCCCGGGGACCCCCAGGCTGCACATCCCCAGGGGCGGAGAGGGACAGGGTGGGGTGGCCCTGTGGAAGGGACTGATGGTATCCCCGCTCTTGGCCCCCCCAGCCACCCCTCATCTCTCCGCAGAAGAGAAAGGGCAGAGCTGGCAGGGGGGTGCAGTGTGACACCCCTGGGCCTGGAGGCGGGGGATACACACGTCCCAGCATCCCGGAGCACCAGGATGCTTCTGATGGGAGGAGGGGGTGCAGACATGGGTGCTGAGTCCCGCTGACCCCCATGTTCCTCCAGCGGGGTGCTGGGGCGAGCCCCCTTTCTGGGACAGCACCCCGGTCCACCAGCACCCAACCCATGGCCTCTGCCCCCACCCTGGTGCCATTGTCCCCCCCCTCCTCCCCTCCAACCCGAGGGAGTAGCCCCACAGACAGGTGAAACACCCCAAACCCAAAGGGTTTCCCAGAGCTGAGTTTGTGCCGCACTTGGAGCTGGCCCTTCTCCAGCTCTCAGCATCCACTGCCGGTGTGCAGCATGGCACCGGCGCGTGCGGCAGCTGCATGGTGAGCCCAGTGACCCGGTAGCCCCAAATGAGCAGCCTTTCTCTGTGACGGATTATCTCGGCTTTCCCTGCTGAGCCGTGGGTGTTTCGGGCGGTAATCCTGGCACAGCCGACGGCTTTGCCAGCCAGCAAAAAGCCCCGCAGCAGCTTGTCCGCCGATCTGCCGCGTCCTCCGGTGCTCCCCACAGCCTCTCCGTCGGCTGCAGGTGTCCGGCTGGATCCCCCACGGCTCTTCCCAGCTCCAGGTCTGCTCCAGGATGGATCCCTCTGGCAGCAGCAGGACCACGGGAGAGACGTGGCCACCAACAGGGAGATAATGTTTAATCACATCTGCTGTGGCTGAGGTTTATGTTCCCTGGATGGAGGAGGGGGAAGAAGGAGGAGCTGCTTCCCTCAGCACCCCTCAGTGAGGGGGGGAGGTACCCTTGGAGCCCGGCCTTGGTTGATCCATCATTTCCCAGTGGTGAGGTCTGACATGTGGCCATGCCAGCACAGGCCCAGATGATCCCCATTGCAACTCTGAGACAAACCAAGCATCACCGTCTTCCTCCTCCTCGTCCCTGTCCTCATCCTCTGTGAGCTCACTCGGAGCAGCAGGGTTTCCTTTGGTCCCTCTCTCGCACGCGTGGGCCTTGCTCCTGTGAACGGCGGCGGTTTCGCAGCTTTTTCTCTGGAATTCTGCCACATGTCACGAGGAAAGTGCCAGCTCATGAAGGCCTGGTGGCCCCGAGCCCCCTCCCCAGGGACCGTAGGCATGAGACGTCACCCGGCGTGTCCCACACTGGCTCTGTGCCCACTGGTGCAGCTGCTCGGCAAAATGTGTCCCGGCAGGATCCAGCCCACACAGAGCATCCCTGGACATACCCGGGGGTGGTGGAAATTTCCGTGGGGACTGTGGTGGGAAGGGACAGGCAGTCAGTGGCAGCCAGAGTCCCCATCCCTTCAGTCAGCCATAAAACCCACAGGAGATCACAAAACAGCCCGAACATGGGTGCCAGCGCCAAAATCGCCCTGTGGGAGCAGATGCTGGGGAACTTTTTTGCTTACTCAAGGCAGCTTCCAGCGAGCGCTGAGCTGACGCTGCCTTGAGCAAGGCCTAAATATAGGCCACAAAGGCTGTTTGCAGCCTGGGTTTTGTAGCTGTAGAACAGGAAACATCCTTGATACCAAATATTGAATTTTACGTGGGGTGGGGAACAGCCCCATTTACGTGGGGTGGGGAACAGCGGTTGTCCCGGGGCCACAGCGAGCCCTGCCCGTGGCGGGGGTGGCTGGGGGGGTGGCCGGACCCAGAGTGGGCATCTCCTGCCCGGCACGTCTGGCTCGGCTGAGCCGGTCCGTCCCTTGGCGTCTCCAGCTGGGGCGGGAGCCTGCCCCGGTAACTCTCAGGGTGTTGCTCCCCTTCCAGGCTCTTCTCCCCCCCGCCCCTTTGCGTGGCCGTGGTCTCGCGTGGGTTTGTCCCAGCTCTTATCTCGCCTGTCCCTGGAGTTTGATCGCAGTGAGGCCATAAAGAGCGGAGCTCCCACAGCGCAGGGGGGTGGGGTAAAGGGGGGGGAACGACCGGGCGGCCACAGGGATGGGGACGAAGCCTGCGTGGCCGCCGGGTGTTCATTAACCCGCGGGAGCCCGGGCGAGCAGC